GGAAGGACAGGGATGGGTATGGGATGGACACGGAAGGACAGGGTTGGGCACAGATGGGTATGGGATGGACAGGGATGGACACGGAAGGACAGGGATGGACACGGACGGGTGCGGGCGCTCCGGCGCTATCCCTTCAGCACCACGGCGGCTCCGGAGCCCCGAGCGGGAGCGGCTCCGGCAGCGCTGGAAGGGAAACCCCCGACATCCCCCGGCCCCAGCGGGATCAGCTCAACCCTCCGCCGTGCAGAGCGAAATTAAAAAAAAAAAAAAAAAAAAAATAAAAGAAAAACAACCTTCTAGCGGTTTAGGTTTCATGTGGGTTTGTGCTGGAAAACAAATTAACCTAAGAGGATTTGGGGAATTCGAGCCGGCAACAAAAGACAAGGTGGAAGTGTCTGAGTTTTGAAAATGTGCCCAAGGCCCCGACTGGCAAATCCTTTCTCTGAATGCTCCTGCTAAGCCCTTTCATCAGCACTAAAAGAATACAGAGAAAAGGTGGGGGTTTTTTTGCTGCAGAAAAGATTACCTGGAAATTATTTTCAGTAAAAGATTGGTTGTTCTTTCTCCTTAAAAAAAATGTTTCTGTTTATAGAATTATATCAGAAGAAAACTTAGAAGACACTTAATCTGTGGCTCTGATCTGGTAATTTAATAAAACCATCATTTGGTTTAATGAAGGAATTCATTTGTCCAAGACATATTTCTTGAACATTAATAATTATTTTTGGGCTGAGACTATTTCTTAAAATCACGGAATGATTTGGGTTGGAAGGGACCTTAAAGTTCACCCCAAGAGAGAGGGAATTTCTAAACACTGGTGGAAAAGTTTGCTTAAAGGACTGGATTTCTCTTTCTCTAGTTTGTCATTTACTTTTGGCAACTTTCAAGTCTTTGTGCTGAACAAAGCAAAGAATTGTGCAGAGTAGATTAAGAACTGAAGAAAAAAATCTCCATCAAGAAGGACTGAGAAATAGAATCAGGGAAATATTCTTGCCAGACAAATCACCTTCACTTCATGAGCACAAAAACTCAACATTTCATGTGCTCCAATCCCATCTTGGTGCACTTTAAAAATCCTAATTTTTAAGATCTTCAAATGATCTTTCAGTGTTGTGTATTCTGTGCATTGCAGCAGTTTCCAAAAGGGTGTGAGACGATCCTATCTGCATCAGTAATCTGTATTTTATTTATTTTGCTTTTCAAAATATGAGAATAATTGAATCCTTTGTTGGTTTGGTGATGGGATCAAATTTGGGCTATCAGAGAAGAGTTGCAAAAGCCTCAGGTGCCCTTCCTGAATACTCCAACAATTGCTGCCTGCTCACCCATGTGTCCTGGGACCAAGGGCAGCCTGTCCCTGGTTCCACAGCTGGAAAAGCAAACAGACCCAGCTAAGGCTGCTCAATCCCTCCCTAAATACTTTAATTCTCCTGCTTTCCACCACCCCGGAGGTGCCTTGGTGCTTCACCCTCAAATTGAGCGGGGAGTGTTCCTTGCTCTGGGATTCCTGCAGGGATTTTTTGGAGCTCCTGTGCAGCTCTGACAGCGCTGCCAGCAGAGGGGGAGAGCCAGAGACACAGAGGAGCTGAGAGTTCATCCAGCATCCACCCAATTTAGTGGGAATATCCTCAAAAAAAGAAGGAAAACCTTCCCAGCAGACTGATATTTTCCCGCTCCACAACCCCACCTCTCCTTGCTCTTTGTTGTAAAGCATTGATCACTTTTTCTGAATGGTTAAAAAAAAAAAAACAACTCTGCAAAAGGCCACATCTGGCCTCCGGAATCACAATGAAGATGGGAAAAAACCCTCCTGGAGCAGAACAAAAAGGCCCGAGCAGCTCTGAGCAGAGGCTGCCACATGCCAGCCCTCATGCCCATAATAAATCTGCATTTGATCGTGAGTTCTAAGTCCTTAAGCACATTGTAGAAATGGGACAAATCCTCTTTGGGAATTTACTGACTTAAAAAAAAAAAAAGGAAAAGCAACATAATTCCATTTATTTTAACATCATTAGATGCTGAAAAAGAAACCCTGATCATATCATGGGATGTATTTCTGTTATTATCTGTGAGTTTTAAGACTTGATTGCTGGGACAAAAAGGAGTCTTGTGCTGTGGAGTTATGTGAGAAATAAGCTGGAGTGGAGAATAAAAACCAGTTCCTATTTTGCATTTTTTTCCCAAGAAAGTCTACGCTATTTATTGTCAGGATAGTGGCATCAAGCTTGGATGGGGCAGTGGTGCTGGAAAATGAGGTTTTTCTGCTCTCTGTTCCTGTGTCTGTGAAGGAAAATCAAGTGAAATCTGGTGTATCCTATCACTCAGTATCAGCATCATGGTTTGGGGACTGGCTTCCCCAAAAAACCAACCAAAAAATCCCAAAAACCCAACTAAACCCCAACCAACCAATGAACCAAACCCCCTCCACATCTCCAGGTCCTGCTGGATGGGGAATTTTGCTTCTGACTTTCACACCTGACCCAAAAGCTCCAAAAAACCCAACTAAGCCCCAACCAACCAATGAACCCAAACCCTCTCCACACCTCCAGCTCCTGCTGGATGGGGAATTTTGCTGTTGGATCTCACACCTGACCCAAAAACTCCCAAAAACCCGACTAAACCCCCAACCAACCAACAAACCAAACCCCCTCCACATCTCCAGGTCCTGCTGGAATGGAAATTTCGCTGCTGTTTCCCACACCAGCAGAGCCAGAAGTTAACTCAGGCACAGGGAGTTTGTCTGCTTTTAATATGAGCAAAATAGAATGAAGCCACTTCTCCCTTCCCTCATTTTTCTCCAAAGATTCCTCTGGGAAGCTCTTTTTTCACTTTTTTTCCTTAACCACCTCAGCTTAGAAGCTGAGGTGAGGCAGCTGGGCTGGTCTGAGGGATGATGCAGGAGAAAGGCACGGACTTGCCCTGTCCCTTCCTGAGGTGTGTGTGCTCTCCCCAGAGGCAGAGTGTCCTCTCCTGAGGATTCCAGTTCTCCCTGGTCCAGTGGCTCCCTGGCTTCCTGTCAAGACCTGGATCATCAAAGCTCTCCCTGCCCTTTTGATGCCATCATCTGTATTTGCATTTCGTGGCACCCAGAACAAGCAAATTCCTTTAAAGTCCAATTTATGCTTTGTAGAATTGCCAGACTGGGGGGAAAAAAACGCTCAGGAAATGGAGAAATCTCTGGGCTCTTAACAAACATTAAACTCTTGATAAAAAACGATGACAAATTCATTCTCTGCTGACCCAGGTCACCTTTGAACAGACACAAAGTTCTTTATCACTTTGCCAATTCCCCCATTCTTTTAGGGGCCCGGTTTGTGGTTTTTTCTGGTTTTATTTTTTGCTTGTTTATCTCTTAATCTTTGGGTAAATTGCAGTATCTGAATCTGGCCATTGTACAAAGGCGTTCAAAGCTTCTCATTTAATTCATAGCCAAGGTTTCCATTTCCTCGAATCAGGCAACTCTTCATTTATTTTTTCTGTGTTATGATTTGGATTTTCAGGGTCACTTGGACCTGTAGTGACAATATTCCAATAAATACTAATTTATACCACCAATACTCCCATTCATTCCAGGATTCTGCAGGGGGAGACTGAACCTCTCTAGATGTGGTGGAACGTTTGGAAATATCCATTGGCCACATTATCATCCCTTGAAAATGGAGCCACAATCCCTTAAATGAACAGCTGGGGCTGGACTCAAAAAATCAGAGTTTTCCTCACCAGGCAGAGGACAGAGAGGAGAATGCACCCAGGAGTCCCCAAAGGGTGAATTGGGGCTGAGATGTTCTCTGCCTTCATGGGGATCACACCTGTCCTACAGGATTTACTCACGGAGCAAAATGGAATCCAGAGCAGCTGGAGGCAGGAAAGATTTCGTTCTTTTACTAATTTTTCAAACCCCATTTCTGTTAATATTATATAAATTATATAATATATATAGTATATAAAAATATATATTATATACACTAATATATTATATGTAATAACAAATATAATATATAATAATACATAGTATATAATAGACATTATAATATCGTTTGTATTATATAAAATTATAGTTTTATTTTATATAAAATATTATAGTTTTCAAAAATGTATAATATTTGTCTAATACACAACACACTGGATGTACTTTCTGCAAGTACTTGTTTAAACTTTCAATCATCATTCCAATTTCCTTCCTTGCTCTATTTCAGCTAAAGTTCCATTCTATTACTTTTCATGTCAATTTATGTTACAACAAATAAAAAAAAAATATTTAAGCATGTGAATCCTTCCCTCTGCAGACCAGTTTTGAGCCCCCACATAGCACACACATGAAATATTATTTAAAAATGAATACTCATGGTTTTAAAACAAATACTCATGGTTTAAAAACAAGCATTCCCACCACACTGACACAGCAACCAGAACAAATGTGAGATGAGTGTCCCTGTCCTTTCCTGTGCTGTGCTGAGGGAATTTGCCTCAGCAAGAAGTTTTGTGCTAGAATTCACTGTACCCAAGAGCAGAGAGAAAAAATCAAAGGTTCTGGAAGAATGTAAATGGTGACGGATGAGCTCAGTGGATGGGTGAGCTCAGTGAAAGGACTGATGGAAATCAAGTTTTTCCCTAGTGGAGTCCTGCATCTCCACGGGGAGAAAAAGACATCAACCTTCACAGATTTGAGCATAAAACATAAAAAATTAAAAATATTAGAAGGGACAGAAGCAGTTACAGAGACAAGGCTGTTGGTGTGGAGAAAAAAGCAACATAAAAGAGTGTACCAGGGAATAAATAAACTCACAGTGCATACTCTGACTATGGATATTGACACTTCAGATTGGGCCAAATTAGGGTGAAATAAATCAGCTGGATTTATGCAGTGATTTAATAAAAAAGACACAATTAAGCCAAGCTGGCTGCTGCCAGGTTGTTCTGCCCCAAGAGAAGAGCAGACCCAGGAATGTGCAGCCGCTTTGCCCCGCGCAGGAATGGAAAGGACACAAAAGGAGCTTTACCTTTGCTCAGGCGGCCACCAGGGAGTTCTCTGGAGGTTCCTCTGTGTCTCCTGCCAGCAGCTCTGCAGCTGTGCAGAAAAACAGGGGCTGGGTTAATAATAAAGAAAGGCACAAGCTGTGAACTCCAAAGACTCGGGTTAAACATTGACTCAGGTCCTTGGGAGCGAGCTCCGGGGGCTGCCCGGGGCATCTTGAGGAAGGGAATGGAAAAGCCAAAACCTGAAGGCATCAGGGACACCCAACCTGGTCCTCAGCAGCCTCTTCCCAGCTGGGACACGCAGGGCAGGCAGCTGGGGCCACCCTGCACATCCAGGTGAGGCTTTCAAAGGCATGAAGCAGGAAATTCTCCCAGGTAATAAAAACCCTTCATCATTCAAATGGTTCTGCAAATATTTACCCATGAGATTGGATTTGGAGTTAGGCACTGATAGACAACTTTAGAATAAACAGGTTCAGATTTATAGTAGAGTCTATTTTATTTTTTCCTGTAAGAAGTGTTTTGTTTCTAGATTAGCATGAGATTAAGGTAAGGCCTTCTAGCCTACACAAGAAGTGCAATCTCATTTTCTGTTGAAGTCACAGTCCGTGTCCTTTTCTGTGCTGATGGAATTTGCCTGAGCAAGAAGGTTTCTTCTAGAATTCACTTTACCTAAGAGCAGAGATAAAAAATGAAAGGTGCAGGATGAATGTACTTGGTACAGCTGGACTGGGTGAGTGTAGTGAAAGGATTGATGGAAATACACAACTTCCCAGAGTCCTTCCTCTCCACAGGGAGAAAAAGATACCTGGAGGAAGGTTAGGATGGAGCACAACCTTCAGCCCTACCCAGGAGCTCTGCAGCATCGTGACCTTTCAGAGTGGTTTCAGCTCCTTCTTTTCCCTTTTCACATGGTGTTCAGGCTGTTTATTGAGGATTAATGCAGGCACTTGAAGATGAATTTAAACCACTTGGATTTCTGGGTATGGTTCGTGCAATCCCTGCACAGGGACCATGTCTGAAGCTTGGATAAGAAAGAAGAGAAACCCAAATCTAAAGGACTGAACAGGAATGAGTTGGTCTGAGGTGAAACGTGCCTAAATCCAAGGTGGGTTTGTATTTAGCTAAAAAAAGGCAGGTTTGACTCTTTTGATGCCAGCTCAGCTCTCAGCTCTGCCCTGACCCAGGAGAGAGGAGCACAGCTCAGGGCACAGTGCCCTTTTCTGCTGCCCTGGTGCCACTCTGGCTTCTGTGGGGTGACACCAGTCCCTGCCTGGGCACTTTCACAGCCCCAGGTACACTGGAAAGCCAGCCCCACTTTGGTGGTTCTGCAATACAAATTAATAACAATAACTAGACTTGACTGCTTGACAAAAAGCAAATAGTACGGAAAAAGCTGTCTTAAATCTTTCTATCCCACTTCCCCAGACCAAAAAAAATCTCCAAATGTTATTTCTTTTGGCAGCTGAAACCTAATCCTACCTTGGTTAACAAAACAGAGAGAACAGGAAGCGCTGTGAAGGAATTTTTCATTCCCTGGGATGTCTTTGATCCCACTCCCCTCCCTTTTCCTATCAGGTAATTTTCAAATCTCGACGTTTCCAGTTAGTCTACGGATCTTCTTGTTTTGTCTACTCCTTATTTAACTTCCATTTCAGGCATGAAAATCTGCCCTGCATTGAGACTTTGCTGTTGTGTAAGCTGGAACCTGAGAACTGCAGAATCCAGGAGGGAACCTGACTAAAATTCACAATTTTTTGGTGGAAAACCAATCATGGCTTTGCTTTAGCACAGGCAAGGGGCATTCAAACATTACAGAAACCCCAAATAAACCCTTTAAGTATTTTTTCTGCAGCCACCACTTTTTGTCACTCAGTTCAACTTCCTGATATACAGAGGGAATTTTTTCTCATCATTTTACATCTCAGTTTGTACCCATCTGAAATTTGCAAAGCTCCAACCAAATTAATGTCTGATAAGTATCTGGGGTTCTGGAGGAATGTGTCAACCCTTATTCCAGTCCCACATGGAATGCAAGGCTGCATGTCTGCCTTAGGCAATAAAACAATAAAATAAAATATAATGAAATAAAATTTGTTTTAAAATTTATTTTAAATAAAACACAATTAAATAAAATAATTAAAATATTGATGATCCTGAAACAGCTTAATTAGCACAGAGCATCCTCCTGCTTGTGGCCAAGTCTGGAGCATTCCAAAGCAGGAGGGGACATAAAAATCCTAAAAATGTCACCAAGATAATCTCAGAGCAGATAACACAACAGCCCCTCTGCCTAAAAAACACACACATCTAAAATAATGCAGTATTCCTGTGGAAGTGAGAATATTATGCTTTTATTTATATTTTTTCTACTCTTCATCTACACTTTTGCTTTTATAATTTCACTTGTCCCACAGATCTCCATGAAATAGAATTTCATCCTCAACCCCTCTCTTTTTTTTCATGTTAAGGAGTTTCTTTGCCATCATCTTCAAATGATTCTCCCCCATTCCTATCAGTTCTCTCCTTGGTTTTTTAAGGCTGTGAGAGAAAGGGGGATCAGAAATAAAGATGTGGCATCTTTTTGTTGTTTTTGAGGGAAGGGATGAATGTGGGAGGCTTTTGTACCCCAGCATCTCCAGGACCATCAGACTCTTCTAGGGCACAGCAGCACTGTCCTGCAGGTCCCAGTGTTCTGTGGGGTCCTGCAAATCCTGCTCTGATTCTGGGGTTTCAGACAGCACAACTGACGGGAAAAGGAATTTTTAAAAGTAATTGGGAAAAACAAATAAAAAACCATCAGTGTGGCTTCACAGATACAAAGACTTAATGATTTTTTTACTTCCAATTTAATCTTTGTGCTTTCTTATGGAAAGAGTCTATTTTGGGGTGAGACTTCTTCATTAAAGATAATTTAAAAAGAACAATTAATGGAATTAAACTCGAACTCCAAACTGTGCTGCATTGTCAGACCCTTTTATGCAGCTCTTCCAGTAGCCCTAATAAAAAAATAGTAATAATTAAGAATTAATTAAAATAAATTAAATAAAAATAAAATTTTTTAAAAATTAAAATAAAAATAAAATAAAAATAAAATAAAAATAAATAATAATAATAATAATGATAATGACTATGATGTTGATGATGATGATGATGTTGATAATAATAATAATAATAGTAGTAGTAATAATAATAATAATAATAATAATAATAATAATAATAATAATAGTTGCAGGCTGTGTTTTCCTGCCTGTGTGCCTTCCTGACTTTCAAAGTGCCAGGGTAGGAATTGTTATTTTGGAAAGCAGCACAATAAATTTCATTAGACAGAGCAGGCTGGTTCTGTGCTGGGCTGGCCCAGGGGCAGCCCTGGATGGAGGGAGCCCGGGCCAAGCACAATAAGGAGAGAAGCTCTGGAATGTGATGCTGGCATTTGTCTCCAGTGGATTCCTCACCTTGCAAGGAAGATTTCACTCTGCAGGAAACTCTTTCTTCTCGTTCATTGACGACTGCAAAATAAAAGAAAAAATTGATCATCCATCATTTTTGGGATTCAAAGATAATTCTGAACCCTGGCAGGAGCCCCTTGGCAGCCCAGGGGAGCTCCCCTTGCTGTGCCCTGGGTTCTGGGCTGCAGTTTCTGATGCTTTGCTTAAAATTTCAAATATCCTGAGACCCGTCACCCCTCTCATCTCCCTCTGCAAACTCTTGCAGATGAAGAAATAGTTTAAAAGGTTTTCCCTGCTAAATACTAAATACTCTCACCTCTTTACAAATAGTTGTTGAGATGTTTCCTTTCCCTTTCACCTGCCTGATTGTAATTTTTCTAATTCTTTGGCATATCTGGTTGGTGGAAAATGTTATAAATTAGTAAATTCCTTTCCTGTACAGAGCTGGAAAAGGAGCCTGGGGTCAGCTCCAGGTTTCACACCACTGTGGCCAACCCTGGTGCTCACCCACATATAAAAATGTAAATTATATTTACCTGCTGTGAAGAGGTAACATTGAGTAGCCAAATTCCTTTTACAAGTATTCATAAATGCTGTTTGCATAACACATCACCATAATCAGATTTTTTTAGTTGGGCCTGTAATGAGATCTTGTAAATTGGCTGTTATCTAAAGGGTTTGTTTTCATTAAACATGTAAATAGCACGGAGGAGCAGCTCTCCTGTGGCCAGGCTGCCACCTCTACACAAGCTTTTTTTCCCCTTAATTAACCCCCTTTTGGTGCCTTTCTCCATAGGGAATTCGTGGGTCTGTGCAAGGAGTTCAGACACCTTTCCCAGGAGAAAACTCCAGTAGGTGAAACGACGTAAATCCACATTTTTCAGGAGTGGATAACACATAAATCCATATTTTTCAGGGATATCTGACACAGTTTATCCCCAGGCCAGGCTTGATACTCACATGTTTCACAACAAGGGCACACTGGGACTTTTTCAGACCTTTTAGAGGAGGAGACAAAACCCCAAACCGGTGTCACTGAATGAATGTGCAATAATTTCTTGAAGAAGCTGGTTTTTAAATTTAATTTTAATTTAATCCTTGCATTTCTAATAGAAGTAATTTAAAGCTACACTAAATATTGTCTGAAGAGCATATTTGTAACATTTAATTTACAGAAACTGCTGCTTTACTGGAGGTCATGGTTGACAAACTGGCAAAGCCCAGACTTTAATTTTTCCTGGGAACTGAATGCTTGTCTCAACAACCCCAACCCAACAGTTCTCCTTATCAAAACAAAACACACCTACGGGGCTGTAAAAACTGACAGGGGGTGTGGGGAAAACGGTTTTCTTGTGAGCTGGAGGAGATTATTCACCTGGATTCTGGGAATAAATGTGACCTGAGCTTTTCCTGGAGCAGCTCCTGCACATCCCATTCTGTGCACTTTTCCCAGAGGTTTGAGGGCTCTTGCCCAGGGATGTCCTTGTGGATTAAAGACTGAGCTAGGCCAAAACCACATCCCAAAACCTCTGCAACTTCCCCAAAATACAGCTCTTGATGGGAATTCAGCATCTGTCTCCACAAGGAGCTGAGCCAAAGCCTGACCTCCACCACCAGTGGTGAACTTTGGGAAA